TATGGTTTTAGAGTTATGAAAGTTGGGTAAAAAGTGTGTTTTAAAATGTATGGATAAATGGGTTACCTCTCAGGCTAAGGGGAGGAGATGTGTGGGATGTAACCATTGTGCGATTGGTTGTACTGTGTCCCACCCTGTGGGATGTCCCCTTGCATGGGGACTTGCATAAAAGTCAGTATGTGGTCATTAAAAAGCAGATCATCTTGTACCTTCATGCAGTTTCAGCTCATGTTTGGGGGATTGGAGAAACTACACTCTGGGGATTGCTATAATCACTATACTCCCCAGGGTATAATCACTAAGCTCTGCTAAGAGCTTGTTCCTGTTCCTGCTCTCTGGAATTTGGAGAGGTCGACCTACTGGAAGCTGGACCCTGGTCTTGGGTCCAGAGTGGGTTGAGACGGCGAGACCCCAACCAAGCTGCGGCGGTTCGTGGGGTCTGCAGTGGTTATGGTGTCGGTATGGTGTATGTATTCAACATACAAACTACTATTTTGTGTGAGGTTGTTTTTTCCTGACACAGTTGGTCACAGTATATCGATATCCATTACTCATTGACTGTAAAATTGACAACACATTGAGCAAACCTTATTTTTACTGTATAGTAATACTATGCATTGATGATAAAACAATGAATAACTAACAATATGAACAGGGAATAACACGGCACCTAATATTGGTAGTGCCATGGTTAATGCCCCTGCAGCCCTTTCAATAGTCTTTCTCCAAGTATAATCTAAAAGGAAATAAACACTGAGAAGGCTCATTCGATCTATGTGAGCACAGATACAAACAATACACTAACAACAGCATAGGAAGTGGTTCATTTGGTAGAATGCAACTAATTAAGACTTGAAAGAAACTGACGAATTTAGATGTGATTAAATCTTTAATTTTTTTTGTTTAAGCAGCATTCTATTCATCATAAAGACTGCAAATTATAATCATACTTCTAGTGGAAACGAATTCCATATGATAAATTAATTCCAATGTAAGATTCACTGCAATCCTCTTACAATAAAAGGGCACCCTCCGGGCACTATAGTGCCAGGAAAACGAGTATGTTTTCCTGGCACTATAGTGGTCCTTTAATCATCGAATAATTTTTATAACACGCAACTTTTCCTTTCTTTTTCTAACCTCTGCCTGTCTAGCAAGCTTAACAGGGAGAGAGGCTTTATCTCTATGCTGCTTTTTCTTTCAGCTAGTTTAAAAGTGCTGCTTTGAGACATCACCATACCAAGATATAACAACTTGGTATATATCCAAAGGCAAATGTCTACGATCTAAGATTTCTATCAGCTTAGCCTCTTACAATGTTCACATTTACTATAGGAACGGAAAACCTCCCTCTACCTTGCTAATTACATTATATTAACCCTATGGATGCCCCTTAGCTTGGCCACTTTGAATAAGGCCTTTATTATAGGGATTCCAACGGAGTTAATTTTTAGTCAGAGTAAAGCAAACTTGCTTTGACTAATCCACTATTCTTGGTTCTTCAGACAGATTTACATTGTGTATAGCTTTCTAAAATATCCAGATTATATCCATATCTCTAAGCAGTCTCCTTTTGTTTCTAAGGAGGATATTTTTTATTTCTTTAGTTGCGGATGTGTCCTCAAGTGTGCGCATTCGGCCTGTCAGGCCTTGTAGGTCAGCTTGGAGTGCTGTTATATCCGTGAGGATGTTCTTTTGAAGTTCCGCCAGTAGTGTCTTTAAGACCACTGTGGTCACTGATGCGGAGTCCGGGCTTGCCTTGTTTGGTTGTGTCGGCAGCGCGTGAGTGCCTAGGTATTCTTCCTCCGTGTCTCCGGAACATTTGTCAAAGAAGTCAGAGCAGCCACCATGAAGCGCCGCCATATTGGGCCTGCTTGTCTCCATATTTCTTGGCTTTGCTTCCCATATTGCTTGGGGCGTACCCTCTGGGAGCTGGAAGTGCAATAATAAGGGGTTTTCCTCGGTTTTCTACGTTTGATGCTCAGAGCCTCCGGTTAGTGCAACCACTCGCTTCAGTCTGTTTTTACAAGTTTTGCAGACAGTTTCTGACATTTTTTTATATTAAAAAGGGACCATATAGGCAACAAAATAAAAACTTTCTTAAAGGGACACTAGTCACCAGAACTACAGCTTATTTTATTTGTTCTGGTAAGTATAGCCTGTTCCAGCTGACTTTTTGCTGTAAACACTGCCTTTTCATAGAAAAGGCAGTGTTTACATTACAGCCTAGAATTTACCTCTAGTGGCTACTCCTCAGACGGTGCTTCCTGGGTCAGTGCTGCAGTTTTCAGCACAGATGCTTAGCATCTCCATGAACTTTCCTCATAGGGATGCACTGATTCAATGCATCTCTATGAGGAGATGCTGATTGACCAGGGTGACGTTTAGCTCCGCCTCCCGCCCTGCGTCCTTGGCTGAGATCATCAGAATTGACTAAGTCACTCCAATGCTTATTTATGGGATATACATACACAAACAGACCAGCAGTTGGTCTGCAGCTTGTCCCCTCTCCTCCATGCCCACAGTGCCGGCCGCCGGGATGCAACATCACGCTGTATCCTGACAGCCATAAATTATGTGCATTGCATGGTGCGACTCCTGCTCGTCGCACCTCCTTGTGTCTGCCTGGCGGCGTACTTTGGCCCCAGCCGGCTCTACTTGAAGGTGGACAGTCTGTTAGACCATGGCAGGGCATCTAGAGCTATGAATTGCACACATTGTTTTTACGTCCATGCTCTCCCCACTTACATACATCAATGACCACCATTAGAATGACCTAGCCTTACCTCTGAGCCCTGATTGTTCTGAAACATCCTACTAGAGCAGTCTGTACAGGGGTCACATCTGCAGAGAAACAAAGAGTACATTACTGAAACCTTCAATTGCATATGTATTGTTTGTTCTGAAGAACTCCCTTGTACCCTAAATACATGCCCTGACAAATTTAGAAATAAAACTATCATTCCACATGATTAAGACTTTACATCTATTAGATGACCTCCTGATTAAAGGAACACTATAGTCTCCAGAACAACTACAGCTTAATGTAGTTATTCTGGTGTATATATCATGTCCCTGCAGGCCTTTTAATGTAAACACTGCCGGGGACCGACATGGCTATTTTAAACCTATATAGTGTCAGGAATACATGTTTGTATTTTAGACACTATAATGTTCCTTTAAACAAAAAAAAACTAAATTTTTATTCCGGCATACCACTGTGTTGCCTGTTTAGGGTGCAGAGTTAAAAACAAAAAAAGTAAATAAAATAAGAAAGTGTAGCAAGGTGGTAATAAAAAAAATATTTAATTAGGTTGGTGTACAGATCCCCAAATTTTCATTCACAAAGCTGTGAAAGCTAGTGATAGCCTGAGAGCAGTGGCTGACACTCTCAGCCTATCAGAAGCCATAATTCAAGGTTTCCCCATTGAAGCCTCAGACATTCCCCAGAAACCAGGGGGGAAACTGTACGGGCATGATCTTCATCATTCTGAGGTTAAACCATTAATAAAACAGCTTGAACACTTGAGCTAAGACAGCACCAAGAACCTCCTGGCTCCATAAAAACGTAATTAAATCAAAAGTTGTTATGGTATCTGGAATAGGGTTCCACAACTGAATTATTTTTATTTCCATCCCTTGTCTCTCTTCCTAGCCTCCTCACCCCCCCTCCCCCCTTTGTGTCGCTATATCCACCTATTTACCCTTTTTGCATCTCTCCTTCACCTCATCCACTTGCAGGTCTCTCAAACATCCTCTTAGCACTTGTATTTTTCTCCAGCCCCTCAACCCCTTCTGTCTCTCTCCAGCACCCTAAAACCTTTGTGTATAACTCTCTAGCCCCTTTCAATCCATTACGTGTCTCTCTCCAGAAAGGTTACGTAAACTCTACTGGTGATTTAGTCAACTAAAACAATTCAGATGACTAAAACTAAATTGAAATTTACTGCCAAAATTAACACGGCTCTGTAGTGGATAAAATTAATGACAATATAGGAAGGTGGTCATGTACCAAATGTATGCAGGGCCAGCGCAAACATAAGGCAAGAAGACAGACAAAGGGGCGGTTAGAAAAGGGACAAACTCTGTAGAAAGTCCAAATCTGATCCTCAAGCCAGTTTCTGTTGCACGTGCTATAATCCCTCTCTCCCTGACACAGGGGTATATTCACACAAACTATAATGCCATCCACTCTGAAACTGGAATTTAATCCCACATACTATTAGCCTCAACCTAACTGATGTGGGTATAGTCTTTCATAGTATTACACCACCCTTTCTGATATAGGTATAATCTTGTGTATTATTACCCCCTGCCTAAGTCAGTGGAGTCAAATGCGCATGCACACATTCCTCAAAGCTTTCCTATAGACGCTCTGCGCGATGGAGGCATAATATGCTTCCAGCGTCGCAGTTGCGCCTCTAGTGGCTGTCCGGAAGACAACCACTAGAGGTTGGCTTAACCCTGCAATGTAAAACATAGCAGTTTCTCTGAAACTATGTTTGCATCTACAGGGTTAAAACCTGAGGGACCAAGCACCCAGACCACTTCATTGAGCTGAAGTGGTCTGGGTGACTATAGTGTCCCTTTAAGTAAAGGAAGAGATATGCACAATATGAGCCTCTGTGTCTTGAGATATAATCCAGATTTACTACTAACCCCACCCTCTCCGATACAGGGGTATAATGTCATGTGCTATTACCCCCACCTTCTCCGATACAGGGGTATAATGTCATGTGCTATTACCCCCACCTTCTCCGATACAGGGGTATAATGTCATGTGCTATTACCCCCACCCTCTCTGATATGGTAGTACAATCTCTCATACTATTGGGCCCATCCAGCATCATACAGGTCATAATCTAATCACACTATTGATCCCCACCGTTTTTGACAGAGGGTTATAATATAGCATACAATTACAAATAACACTGGCTCTACCTGCTCCTACCCCCCACAGCACTATCCCCCCCTCCCCCCTCTGTATAACGCCCTCTTACCCCCTCTCTCACACGGATGTAGTCTTACAGAGGGGGACTGCCGCCTGCACAGCCCACAGCCATCACTTCCGGGTTACCAGCCGAAAACTCCAGGGAAACCGAGAGACTGAGCAATGGATGACAGGTACCTGGCGGGTGTGCAATGGACCCCTCTCCAGCTCTACTCACAGCCCCCTCCCAGTATTACCGGCCTGGTTCCCGTTTACCGGCCTGGCCCCTCCTCTCTAGCTCACCTGAGGCGCCATTGCCTCCTTTCTCCTTGCCGGCGCCTCGTCCGCCTTTGTGTTGGACGCGCGTGCCTAGCGCTAAAAGAACTACAACTCCCGTGATGCTCCGCGGGGCGGACCCTGCGCAGGCGCTCTGGTTAGATTCGGTGGCGGCAGAGCAATCCCTTTTGTTTGGTGGGCGACAGATCCTTGAGAACCGAACCGGACCCAGCGAGTCCTGAACTTGTATCCTCGCTGCAGCCACCGCATCGGGAATTAGGCCCTGCACGATCCATCGCAGGTTTACCTAGCGGAGAGCGGCTATAACACCGGACCGTGCAGGAGCCCCCAAACCCGAGCCAGCACCGACACTTGTGGGAGGTGAGGGGCTGGCAGGAGGAATACATCCTAAATATCTATAAACGGTGCACATGCATCCTAAATAACCATTATACTGTTCACATGCACCCTCGCTATCCATTACACTGTTCACATGCACCCTCGCTATCCGTCACGCCGTCCGCCTGCACCCTCGCTATCCGTCACGCCGTCCGCCTGCACCCTCGCTATCCGTCACGCCGTCCGCCTGCACCCTCGCTATCCGTCACGCCGTCCGCCTGCACCTTCGCTATCCGTCACGCCGTCCGCCTGCACCCTCGCTATCCGTCACGCCGTCCGCCTGCACCCTCGCTATCCGTCACGCCGTCCGCCTGCACCCTCGCTATCCGTCCGCCTGCACCCTCGCTATCCGTCCGCCTGCACCCTCGCTATCCGTCCGCCTGCACCCTAAATATCCATAGAGCTGTTCACGTGCACCCTAAATATCCATAGAGCTGTTCACATGCATCCCAAATACCAGTTTACTATCCATATGTCATCTGAACATATCGACTCCATATATCCACGTGTGCTGGGTGTATGCCCACTAAATGGCAGCATATTATGTAAAATGGATTTTCATTACATAGCATTTAGAAGTCATTGACTGAAAAGTACATTTTGGCGTTAATTCCCAGTTATGTTGTCCGCAGAAATGTTTCACAATACTTCTATCAGTCCCTGTAAAACGGTTACCAAAACTTTGTCTAACCTGCTTGTTAATAATGCAACACTGGAGGATGCTGCAACTCCTGCCATGGGGCCAGTTGTTTATTTAACTATTTGCAAACTTCAAGTCCATTCCAAGTGAAGGTGGTTTGTGGTCATTAAGTGATAATTTTGTCCTGTTTTCAATCCTTTACGTCCTGTCTTCCATGTGCACAGGTTACTCACTCAGGCAGATAAACTGGCGGCCTCAATGGGAAAGAAGCAAAACAAAACAAAAATGGAAGAAGTAGTGGACGAGGAAGAGGAGGAGTATGTGGTGGAGAAAGTCTTGGACAGACGGATGGTAAAAGGGAAAGTTGAATATCTACTTAAATGGAAAGGCTTCTCTGAGTAAGTTCTGCTTTCACTAATGTTTAGAGATTCAATTACAAGTGTGTCCCCTGCCTATGTAATGGTTTGAGGAAATACACTTTGGAAACCCTGCACATGCACAAAGGCTTTTGTCATGTACTGCTCATAACTGCATTTCAAGACATCTGAAATGGCTTTGTACCTATCCCCTTTGTAAACACGTAAACCTGGGAAATAGTCAATTGCTACTCTTTGTCCTCTTTCAGGCTTTGGTCATCACACAATGTGATTTACTCAGCTGTATATTCTTTGTGTTATGTAATTTAACACACAATTCAAAGCTGGAATTTTTCTATAGTCTATATAATTGTAGATTCATTGTTTATTGAATTTTCCCCGAACATAGATTTGCGGGATTCCATTCACAAATAAGCTTATCTGTGTTCAGGGAAGTTTCCCCGAACATATTTGCAAGATTCCATTCACTAGTAAGCTTATTTATGTTGGAGGAAGATTCCCAGAAAATAGATACGCAAAATTCCACTCGCGTAGGATGCAGGATTCCATGCCCTAGTAATCCGGTCTATGTGCGAGGGAATTCCCCCAAACGTGCTTTCTATCCCACGTTTTTCCCTGAAATAAGACCTTCCCCGAAAATAAGCCCTAGTGCGTTTTTTGGGAGAAAAATTCATATAAGACACGGTCTTATTTTCGGGGACAGTCTGATGCCCTCAGTGAGTGTTGGGTATCATAGTCCCATCATTAATCCAATCTTCAGATCCATATTAAATGCAGTGCTCTGTCAGAGCAGCTTTATATTTATGTAATTATTAGTTTCAAAAAAGTTTTAAAATAGTTTAAACTTATAACTTTTAATTCTTCACTTATTTCTACATTATTTTTTTACGTTTATGCCAGTAGTTCCTCTTGGCGTAAATTAATTATATAATCAGGAACACAAGGAATGTGCCAACTTGAAAACCACACTTACTTGATTTTAGAGCTTTCAAGAGCAGTCTTCCAAATTATTTATATTTGTGTTGCCTAAGAATTACCCATTACACATTGTGGTTCTAGTTCACATCTCTGGCCTCTTCCCAGTACAGAAGAAACACTTTTTCGATTCAGAAGCAGCTTCACAAACTTTTTGAATGAAGTGTCTTTTTGGGGGGGAGATTGGATGTGAATACCTCTGGTGTTTGCAGCGAGGACAACACGTGGGAGCCGGAGGAGAACCTGGACTGCCCTGACCTGATTGCCGAGTTCCTGCAGTCACAGAAAACCGCTCATGAGTCTGAGAAAGATGGTGGAAAACGCAAAGGTGATTCTGACACAGAGGTTGGGGATGAGAGCAAGCCAAAGAAAAAGAAAGAGGAGGTGAGCAATGAAAGAACAGCTTAAATAGTGAATGTATGGTACGTTCCAAAATTCTCTCAGGTTGCAGAGTGATGAAAGATATTTTCAGAATGACTCACACTGACTGAAGTACTTTTGATGATGTTTGATTACCAATACTGGTGCCTTTCTCATTTCAGGCTGAGAAACCTCGTGGCTTCGCTCGGGGTTTGGAGCCAGAGAGGATAATTGGAGCTACTGACTCTAGTGGGGAGTTGATGTTCTTGATGAAGTGGTGAGTTGTTAACTATAGTTTTGTTTCAAACAACAGTGAACACTGTTTAAATATGTACATCTAGTCTGATATATAATTATTTTCCAGCAAGATCACCTAAGCCCATAATCATTTTTTTTTTTTTCCTCTTATGTTAACTGCAGGAAAAACTCTGATGAAGCAGATCTTGTCCCAGCCAAGGAAGCCAACGTGAAGTGCCCCCAGGTAGTGATTTCTTTCTACGAGGAGCGACTGACGTGGCATTCCTATCCCTCCGAAGATGAGGACAAGAAAGAAGAAAAAAACTGAGTGCCCTGCATATGCTATGAACGCCAGCCTCACGTGGTTTGGTGAGATTTTACACACCTCTAACTCCCATGACAGGAAGGGGGAGAGCACCTGCAGGATTCAGTCTGTCCTGGAGCCTTGGTCTGTATTTTCCATAGATTGGGTTTTAGGGAAGTGTCAACCGGTGCATAGCTCAGGAGACACTGCACCCTACAAGCTTCTCCTCCTCCTTCCCGATAGTGTTACAAACTGCATTTTTACTGAGTAGCATGTAATGTTTGGCTATTAGTGATGTCTGTCAAGACGTTGGTCACGGGGTAGGGAGGGGGAATGGGATAAAATGGTTTTATTTTATATTTTAATCTTTTGAAAGAAGAGAGAGAAAAATACTACCAACTGACAAGGATCCTTCAGCCTATTTACTGCCGGCAGTTCAGTTTCTGGGTCTTTGCTGTATGGACCATCCAGAAGAAGAAAATGTGGATTTGGGTGGAAACATCTCCCTCTCCTTGGTCCTCTGAGACAGAACGTGGAACAAGTTCTGTTCATGTTTTATAACTATTCCAAATCATGAACCATTTAGTTTTCTTTAGCTCTTTGGTCTTGGTTACATATTCCGGAATTACCTACAGAATCATTGTATAAATTTGTCTTTTTAATTTTTATTTTTTTTAGCATGTGTTTAGGGTTCCGTGAAACATTAACTGTAAAGTAAATCGTAGATAGCCTTTTGTCAGTCTGTTGTCCTAATAAAACTTTTAGATTTATAAATAAAGGTTCCTCATTTTCATTAGCACATTATTGTAACTATTGATGCAAGCCTAGCTTGAACTACCATTTACACAATGAGAGCCAGATTAACTTCTGTGTGTGTAAAATTTATACATTATGTGCAAAAATACAGTAATCATATTTGGAGATGGAGGAGGGGCGTGTGCACTACAACCATCTTGTCTAAATCTTAAAGCACTCAAGGAGATGTACAGGGTTGTAGTAATGTGTTTCATTGTAATGTACCAACTTTTATTTTTAACCAAAGGTTAACATTAATGTTTAACTATTGCCAATTAAGCAGCAAGGCAAAGGGGGAAATATGGTCACATGAAAATCATAGAGAACTAGACAACCAAGACTACAGGGCAATTTACGCTCCAAAATTGTGCTGATGGCACCCGTTTAGGCAAAAGACAGTCCCACCATATATGAATGTAAGTCACCCTCTGTTCACAACCCTTAAACGCAAAGAAGAAACTAATATTTTGTGGAAACTTACTACCTGAAAAAAAGCTTTTTCTTAAAATTTCTGCCCAAAGTTAATCTCCCGTTTATAGAGCCAAACGGGAGAAGAGGTTGAAAACAGTTGTTCAATTATCTAAAGAGATCTGTACCATAGAAGAGGGGTTTTAAATAGTTACCAAGATTACATTTTATGTTTTTATGAAAATCCTCTCTATTACATTTAAACATTGTCAGGTGCTGGATTTGCCTTTCCTTCCAGTTTTTGGCACATCTTGGATCAATGGACCTTATTTATTACCCCGCAGCATCTATTTCTCAGACAAGCGTTGTGTGTAGCTTTTATTATATTGCATGAGCATTCTATTTTTGTTCGGTGATAAGTTTTTATTTTTTTTAGCTCTTGGCAATTGATGAATTGCTATGGGGATAACACTTCTAGTCTAAACCTAAAAACATACTGTGAAACGTTTTATTGGTGACACGAACACTGAGGCCATATTTATACAGTAGTTTGGATTGGTGGTTATGGCCGTGGTAGAGGTAACATCTGACACGTCACTGGGGCTACATTCCAGAAAGTTCACTTCTATGCATTTAACAGTACCAGAGGCCTAGAAAAACTGCCCAACCCTACTGAATCCTTCAGTTCATGTAATGGAAGCTGGTGATCCAGAACAATGTTTTTAATAAGCGGCTGCAGCTGCTTCAAATTTGGATATCCTGACAGCTGAAAGCCACTCCTGCTTAGCTAAGCATCACAAATTGCACTGCTTTAGTATTATGTTACAAACACTGGAAGGTGGTAAGCAAATCACACACCCATGTAGTGGCTTCAAAATAACTTCGTTGTGAGAAATGGTCTTACTTAGCCACAGTTGTTATTTTTTTCTTTTGTGTTTTTGTCTGCTCTTATGCTTTGTGATAAAGTAATGTGTTTACAATTTGCAGGCCGGGTAGTATCAGACCTTGTACATAACTGGGTAATCCCTGGACTTGTAGGGGTGCCTAGGACTGGTTTGGGAATCACTGTTTTAATCCATTAACAGTTTAACCCCAAAATGTTGAATCCAGTACCCATTAGCTCTGCCCCTTCTATTTTCTCCAAGGCTTGAATCAGGAAACCTCGGACAGGGGCACTGCTGGTTAGTTTAGTGCCCCAAATAACGCTCTATGCGAATCAGTAGCTCCCCGTTCACAATAAAAGTACATATTTTTCTCAAGCCATTTTGATTTAACTGGTGCTGGATTCAATAAGTTGGTGTTGGACCATTTGTTAAGTTTAACCCCTAAAAGTCAACTGGCACAAGAACCTCCTGGCACCATTACAATTTCTTTCTGATGAAAGTGTTATGGTGCCCAGAAGTTCCCTTTTATGTATTGAAAAGCATAAAACATGCACCTCCAGTCCCACCATGTAAAATGAAAGTCTAGCCACAAACAGAGAGAAGCTCTCAAATCCCCATATCTATCTTGGTGAAATATATTCTATTGTGAGTGCAGAGTATGCTCATCTATATTTAGTAATGAAAGCAGGAGTGAGTTGGACCACCAGCAGTACAAATGATCACAAACGTGTAAAATAACCCATTAAAACTTTAAGGCATGATCATTCAGTTTTGTAACATTAAAATGTACATTTACAACAGTCTGTTAAACTAATAGTTCCAGATCAAACCATGGCAGCATTAATTAATGGCCAACTACTCTCACTTAAAGGATCACTATAGGATCAGGAACACAAACCTGTATTCCTGACCCTATAGTGTTAAAACCACCATCTAGCCCCCGCCCCTCATGCCTTCATAAGTATAGCAAACTCTTACCGTATTCAAGGCAGAAGCTGTAACTCTGCATGCGGTTTGCCTAAAAAACAAACAAGCTGTCTGCTGACATCAGAAGTGGTAGCATGATCCAATCACAGTGCTTCCCCAGAGGATTGGCTGAGACTGAAAGGGGCAGAGCCAGTATGATTCAAACAGCCCTGGCCAATCGGCATCACCTCATAGAGAAGAATTGAATCAATGAATCTCTATGAGGAAAGTTCAGTGTCTGCATGCAGAGGGAGGAGACACTGAATGTTTGGATGCATTTTAGGCAGCCATGACCCAGGAAGGATCTCTAACAGCTATCTGAGGAGTGGCCCCAGTGAAGTTATCAATAGGCTGTAATGTAAACACTGCATTTTCTCTGAAAAGATAGTGTTTACAGCAAAAAGCCTTAAGGTAATGATTCTACTCACCAGAACAAATTCAATAAGCTGTAGCTGTTCTGGTGACTATAGTGTCCCTTTAACAGTGGGAAACAAAACACCAAGATTAGTATAAATAAAACAGCAAACTCCATATAAAATTGCTCTCCTTTACAATGGTTAGGACAGCCTGAGTTTAGCCTCTTATTCTTGAAGATCCAGTAAACATATAAAAAGATTAGTCCTTGGGTGAGCCCTAAACGCTATCTTCGAGAATATGGTACGGGCACATGAAGTGTCTCGTTTAGAAGTATAGGCTGTTAATTTAGCAAATCCCAATCTGCAGACGTAACAAGGCCTATAGCAATCCGAATGCCTCAGTTACTGCTGATTAGCTGGGTTTGTCACGGGTCAGGTAAGTGCATCAATGGTTTAGATTACCGATATGCTTGTATTTCAGCTACCACTATTACTTATTATTGAGACATTCTAATAACAAATAGGTCACCTTAAGGTTATGGTTTATCATCTAGGTAAGTCTTTTTTGACCAATATTTTCTTTTTTGAAAAGAATGTTGCTAATAACTGCTTTTTGCTAAATCTGTACAGTGGAGTTCAGAGAAATTACCAATGGCAATCTCATTCCTTAATACGACTTACCTATGCTTTTAGCAAATACACCAGTTCCTTCAGAAGGTAGGACATTACTCCTCTACTGCAGGGGACCCCAACCCAGCTCAGGATTTAGGGATTACCCTGTAATCCCTAAATCATGGAGTGTTAGGGAGTACTCGAGGACTGTGTTGGGAACCACTGCTCTACTGCATGTGTGACCAATATCAACTCTGTGCATGAGCTGGTGTGGAGACAGCCCTGTTCCAATACATGAAAAATACACTTCCACAGGTGACTGACCCGAGTTGCAAAGTAGGGATCTACTCTGTTAAATAAATTGCATTTGATTCACACTGGAGTTGTCCCTCCCCTTGGATGAGACTTGATTGCAAATTGAAGATTAGTAGTTTTGCGTTTATTTCTGATGTACTCTCCATGTATATTAAATAGACACTACAGGCAACAAAACAACTTTAGCTTCGTGAAGGAGTTTTGATGTATAGATCATGCCCCTATAGCAGTGATGGCGAACCTTTTTGAATCCGAGTACCCAAACCGCAATACATGCCAACATTTGTTTCCTCAAAGTGCCAAGACGGCAATTAAACCTGAATACTGATGTTTAAATTTAGAAAAAAAAAAAAACTCGTACTGCTGAATACACACACACACACACACTGCATTGAGGGATAAAGTATATGTGTTTGTGTGTGGGGTGCTGTGTGTGTGTGAGTGAGTGAGGTTTGCTGTGCTGTGTGTGTGTGTGTGTGTGGGGGGGGGAGGGGGTAGGGGTGCTGTGTGTGTGTGGGGAGGTACGGGTGCTGGGCAGGGGTAAGGGTGCTGTGCTGGGGGTGTAGGGATGCAATGTGTTGGGGTGCTGTGTGTGTGTGTTGGGAGGTACAGGTGTGTGTGTGTGTTGGGGTGGTGTGCGTGTGTTGGGAGGTAGGGGTGCTGTGTGTGGAGGTAGGGGGAAGTTAAAAAAAAAAAAAAGTATGCTAAATTTGTATCCCCCTCCCTCTTGCTTATCTTTAATGAAGGTGGGGGGCGGGGGGAGACAGCCATCCCTGGTGGTCCGGTGGTAGTAAGTACTGCTTCCGGGTCAGGAGGAAGGATCTGTGAAGCAGCTCATCTGTCCTCCTGTGCGATGCTGTGTGGAGCGTTGCCATGGTAACGCGCGGCAATGCTCCACCCAGATTACTCGCGGGAGGACAGGGGAGCGGCTTCACAGATCCCTCCCCCTGCCTCCCGACCCGGAAGCAGAGTAGGCGCCTGCCGTTTTGGGCAGGCAGGTGCCTACTCTGCATTGATGGCGAACCTATGGCCGCGTGCCCACAGAGAGGGCTTGGCGTGCCACCTTTGGCACCCATGCCATAGGTTCGCCATCACTGCCCTTTAGTCTCACTGTTCAATTATCTACCATTTAAGCATTGAGTCACTTTGTTTATACAACCCTAGTCACACCTCCCTGCATGTGACTTGCACAGCCTTTTCTAAACACTGTACTGCACATTCTGTTTAATTGGAATTTCTTGTTTCTGGTTCTGTAAATAGTATCCTATCCCTGTGTTATTAAAATTCAATTTACATAGCAGGAAATAAACTTCTAAATTAAGCTGATTGAATATGAAACCATTTTTTTGTCACGGCCAAAGGAAATGTGTCTAGAGCTGCATAAACAAAAAATGAGTTAATTCCTAGATGGCAGACAATTGAGCAGTGAGATTGCAGGGGGATTATCTATAAAGCCAAGTTATCTTTATGCATATAGTATCCCTTATAAAAGGTATATTTGGTTAAAAAAATAAAAATATGATTGCTATGTATATAATTCATAATTGATGAAAATACTTGTACATCTGATTTAAAGGAATACTATAGGCACCATAACAACGTTGTCACAACCTATCACTAGCATCCCATTCATAAACTAAATATGAATCTAGTGATATGCTGAAGGTGCCAGTGACTACCAGTAAGTGTCCTTGGGAAAGACATCCAACCATTTATCCTCATATTGTAAGCTTGTTTGAGCAGGGAGGTCTTCATCCTTTTCTATACCTGTAAACTGCTGTGGAATATATTGTCACTATGCAAGTAATTATAATTGAAAACAGGCTCATGGGCATCATCTTTACTTCAGGGTTAAACCATTTCTAAATGGTTTAAACCTTTAGAGGTAAAACTATGAATTTGGTACTGCCTGGAGTGTTCCTTCAAATGCTAATGAAGCATTCCTTTCCAAAACCTATCACTGAATATAACTTCAAAATATGGACATCATGTGGTTGTTTCAAAATAATGATTAGCCTTTGATAAAGCCAGTTAAATAATCAGATTAAATGATAAGTAAAACAGATATTTCTATTAAAAGGGGGCTGGAAAAACCTATATCTGTTTTACTTATTTAATCTGATTATTTAACTGGCTTTATCAAAGGCTAATCATTATTTTGAAACAACCACATGATGTCCATATTTTGAAGTTATATTCAGTGATAGGTTTTGGAAAGGAATGCTTCATTAGCATGTAATGCTTTTGTGCATTATGCATGTCTGATAATATTCTCTGTCAGTTGACATTATTTTTATACTTTCCATTAAGGATATCTCGGAAGAACAGTTTGACAACATACATGGGGTCCACTGGATACCCGACACTCCCTCTTCTTGAGGCACAAGCTCCTGCAAGGACCAGCTCACTGGCTGAGGTTGTCAGCTGAATGCTCTCATCTAAGGAGTATGGCCCTGCATACATTAGCTCAGTGCAGTACCTTCCTGCTCCTAAGAAGGCAGGGGCACCAGGTGGGACCCAGGTAAATTATCAAACCATTCTTAAAGGGACAATATAGGCACCCATATCACTTCAGCTCATTGAAGTGGTCTGGGTGCAGTGTCCTTTTAAGTTTAACCTTGCAATGATAATTATTGCAGTTATTGATAAACTGCAATAAATTACCTTGCAGGGTTAACTCCACCTCTAGTGGCTGTCTACCAGACCACCACTAGGAGGTGGTGCTTCCGAGTTGTTGGGTGACTTTTAGCCGCCTGATGCTGGAAGTCCTCATGCTATGCATGCGGTCATCCAGCGTCCGCTAAAACTCCATAGGAAAGCATTGATTCAAGCATTGATTATGCGGGGTGAGTGAGCGAGGGGAGGCACTATAGTGCTAGGAATAAAGATTCGGTATTCCAAGCCTATGGTTTCCCCTTTCACTCTGGAAGAAATCAGGGTACTACTGGCATCATAACACTACAGTTGTCTCAGAGTTCATTCTAGCATGAATGCATCTGCTCCTCTGATTTTCATCTTAGATGTAGTAGCTTAGTCTGGTGTATTTACCCTTTGGGACCATGCATTCAGAAATCTTGATTTTTGGCATGCATGCATTTTCTTTGGAAGTTATTATGGTGCCTAAACTGTCCCTTTAATTATGGTGCCTGGAGACACCAGGGCACACTGTTAGCTCAAGGGATTACATTATTTGATTGCTTAGCTGATGCTTTTTAGCCAGAGTCTTTCCACTCACAAAACTGGCTTGGAAAAGGTAAAAAAAAATTCCTAGCCAGTTTTATGGGTGGGGAGTCACTGCCATGGCTGAAATGCCATCAAGCGGTATTCTTAGAAGAATGACCAAAAACAATTTCAGTTGTCCTCAGACTCACACAATATAAATGAGAATACTTAATCTAAATAAAAACATGGCCCTCTCCTTGCACACCTAAGAGTTAAATGATTGTCCTTGGCACATTCTGCTTGACCAGGGACCAATCTAAACCCCTATATCTTAGTGGTTATCAAACAGTGTTCCACAAAGACATGGACCTCAGAGATGTAACATGCCAAATGCAATCCTAAAGTGTAGGGGAAAGGGGTGTATACATCAATACGACAGGATGTTTAGATATAGATACAAATCGTACTTGTTTTGTATGTCAACCCTACCATCTCAGCTTGAAAAGTATAAGGCTGCAGCCGATTAATATTTAAAAAAAAAACAAAAAAAAAAAACATGGTAAAAGAATCACAATTGCAATGTTTGAGGCCAGGGACTATTTCTTATTCCACACATTGGCCGTTTCCTTTGTGAAAACCACAGCGGTCAATGCTACCCTTCCAATAGAGAAGGAATAAGATCTAATGTATATATGTATATTGAGATTTAAAGTTGATGTATATATACAAGACTGGTTCCACATGCTGCTGTGGAAGTAATCCTGCAAGATGGTAGCCCTAGCTGGAAAACCTTTTCTTCTTCATATCATGGACTTTAGCCACCTTCCTTCCAAACTGAATGATTATTTATGGTTGACCAAGCCATCAACAAGCACACCTTTATCCACTGGTATTGTACTATCGTACAAATATTTCATGGAATTATAAGACACTGCATAGCACACTTTATAAATAAATAATAAAAATTACATTTTAAAAAAAGCTATTCGACCAGCAACATGCATCAGTGTATAACCTGTTAACGTCTTTACAGAAAAAGTCAAGATATCAATAGCTGAGTTTCAAACACAAATGAGTTTATTTATTTAACAGTTATTTTCATTTTAACTGGCACCCTGGCATACTATGAAACAAAGATTCTCTTTAAATGCAACCCTGAGTAGTGTGATTGTTTGTACAAGTGCCACTTCACATACATTTTTTTTTTTTTTAAATAAAACTGTATTTTTATAATCAAGCTCCCAATTTGACAGACTAGTTTTCTTCTAAAGCTTTGATCAACTGCCATTAAACTTTGCAAAATAGCATATGAGCAACCAACTTGTGAAATGTAGGCAATTCGATTTGGGGGTGGGACTCACAGTTTATAGAATATATAACCTAAATGAGGGATGCAAAATGGTGCTCACCCCATGACGATGTTGTACTGCAAATCTCACAATTCCATTTGAATCATAGAGTGGCAAAGAATCAGGTTAGCTGAAGTCTGTCATCATAGTGAGGGGAGCACAATGTAAAACTCCCTGCCCCTTACAATATCAAAGGCCAGACAAGCCAGAATTGAAAATACATCATGACACCATAAAGCACATACCTGGTGCTCCCTGGCTTTTTTCGCCAAATAGCAGTTCCAGACAAACCTCACATATGAAACTTAACTAACATTTCATGTTGCACAAACCAAAACATTGTTGTTTTTTTCTTCTGTAAAAGCCCTTTTGGAATCCAGGCACAGCTGCAATGAAGGCCACAGTATGACATTACTCTTACACAGGTAAACATGCTGCCTTGTGGAGTTAATCAACGGATTAACCATCAGTGTCAACCCTTGTTATGCAATCTGTCAGAGTGACGAGAAGGAACAAAAACAAAAGTGCAGGATGTAAAAATAAACTGGTAAGAAATTAAATTGCATTTTGTACCACTATATTTATATAAGCTACTCTGCATATTTCAAATGGCCATGACCATTTATTTTACATTTGTTTTAGGGTATTACTGGATACTTATATTCCCTATATCTGACCTGTTACATTTCCTGTGTATTCTACAGACACCAACTGTCCTGGTCTCTCGGTTTGGAACATAAATAGTGGCATGGTCTGATCTTATTAAAGACAGAGCATCATAGTGATCAAATTGTGAAAATAAACAGATAAAATGTATACTAAGGGATTCACAGCTTTTCATCATTGAACATTCAGGAATACCTCATTGGGTTGTCATCCATCACGAAGACTAGCATTTCCAGATCCATAATTCAAGACACATTACTTCAGGCTGATGTTTTAGAAATGAAAAGTGCTGCCTTGTTAGTGCTGCCATTCATATTAAACTTCTTCAAAAAAGAAATTTAAAAAAATAAACACACACAACTATGAAGACAGTTCCCTGCAGGGTTCCTCCTTGATGAATCACATTCCTACAGCATATGATTTCAAAATACTACAAACAGCACTTTCCATGCACTGCCTGACAGCATAGCAAATGTTATGGGTCCAGTGTGCTTCTAGGATATGGGTGTGTAGTTAAATGATTTAAAAATACACTTTCTGCTATATAGGGTTCACATCCCATTTGTCTTTTTGGATGCTATTAAGAATATTGACAGGGAAAACATGCCTCACAGTTGGCATTTATCATGAACTTTTTTCACATTACTTTCCATCTCATTTCTAGCCTCAACCTAACTTGGTTTGAAATTTCAGAACTACAATTTAGAGGCCTTTTTGTTTCTAAGCCACACAGCATGAGCAAGGTGACACAGTGTTGGAATCTAATGGAATTAGACAAACTATCACAAATCTGTTTATCATATAAATAAAAAAAATAAAAAAAATATATAAAACTTTCTTCCAAACGTAAACCAGTTAGAATACGGAAGAACTTCCTTAACACTCCATCTGCTGTAGACTTTAGCTACCTTGATGCCGAGGCATGCAATTGATAAATGGTACCTGCAACCTAAATCAGCTAAAGTGCCAGGTAGCCTATTCCTGTTCCTGTTCCAAAACGATGCAGTATGGAACATGCATAGTTTTCACTCAATAAAAGCAGCAATTCCTAAACCTTTCAGGCTAATTCTATAGAATTAAATATTATATGGATTACTGCTGATCTCTCCAAAAAACACAATTGTTCCTACTTGGACATAGGAATTTACAGTCCACATCATTCTACCCACTTTACAGTATTCTGGCGATGCTACCAGAATAATTAAACAAACAACTCTGTGCACACTGGGTGTGGGTTCCCTGCATTACACTGCCTAGTAGTTTGGGGACTGAGCTTTAACTAACATTTGTAATCTTTCTTTAAATACAAACTACCCCTTTGCTACCAAACTAGACAAAAGGATAAATATCAGGAGTCAATGAACCCCATAATACATTGGAACACGCAGCAATAAACAAATGGACAGCATTGTACCTTAGTACAGCCACAAACTGACATATCTTACGACCATTATGCATGCTGCAAAATGTCTTCTTAGAGACTTGGGATGGATGATTTTCCCCATCAAGTAGCAAGGGGACAAACATTACGGCTATAACTGTCCCCACAGCTGCCAATTTAATGACAATACAAAAAGATCACTGGCCCCCAAATCGCTACTCAAGGACAAAACCATTCTAGGCCGCTGTCATTTAATTTCTACTTATTAACATGTCCTCATTGTTGTTCTACTCATGCAAGATGACACTTCAGCCCCTGACATAGCTGGCTACATTGCAGACATGGTATTGGATCCAGAATAAAAATAAATTTTTTTTTACTTATTTTCTTTTACCCTCCCTTTTTGTCAGCTTCTTGTTTATACGATACCCGGGCTTGTCTGTGCCCGCGGGCCTGGCTGGTCTCCTTATTCCTGGACTGACAGGGCCCAGACGTTGACAGGACACAGCACTTGACCCACAGTAAGTGTAGACTGTATCCTTGTCACTCACTGGGGTCAGTTGTGTGAAAAGGTTTGATATTTAGGCCTGAATGAAAGCACAGCCCACACCCCCTGTCCTGTAATATTCCTGAAGTTATATACAGATACATCACTTTCTCCGATCCTTCTTCTCTGGCCGTCGGCCTTGCTGACCCTCAGCACTCCGCGGCATAAGTACAATGTTGCCATTGCTTGTGTAGTGCAAGGCATACCGCTGGGATGAATATGGACGACCCTCTTGATCTCTTAGTTGACTAAAGACCTCCTGGTAAAGATTCTCCACCTCCTGCTTCATTTGTTGAAGTGACCTTAGGTTTTCTCCTTTCTCCCTCAATTGAGAGGTACGTTCGCGGGTAAGCCGCTTCACTTCCTGCTCCAGGTTAAGGATTGTGTCTAACTTGCGTTTGCGACAGTTCTGAGCAGCCATCTTGTTTTTTCCCCGTCTCCGGATGTCGCGCACCAAGCAGAGCTGTGCTTCACTAAGCTGATACTTTGTGAGCAGCTCATTAAACTCCTCTACAGGTAGATTAATAATCTTATCATTGCTGAAAGGGATCTTCATAGCTCTTGCCCTTTGCTCGTCACGACCTGCCTGCCTATCTAGAAAGCCTGATGATCTCCGGTTTCCCCTGCTCAAAACTGGCTTATCCTCTGGCTCTTCAGGCACCATGTTGTATGTATGATTGTGCCCAACATGTTCAAGGAAGGGAAGTCGCTGATAATGGCTTGGATTCTGAGAGCTCATACGACAGAATTTACTATATTCAGGTTGGTAACCAATGGCTCCATCAGAGTCCTCCTGATCAATCATTTCAGAATCAGAGCTGTATCCCACTGCCCCTTCCTCAGAGAATGAAGAGGATGATGAGCAAGAGGAAGAGGAGGAAGACTCTGATCCGCTAGGAGATACAGGGCTGCGATGGGAGTCTAGAGAAAGCCCTGAATCAGAGTCCAACTCTTCTTGTAGCTGTGTGGTCTGAACTTGACTGAAACCTTCCTCCAGTGCAAGGTCCATCAAGCTTATTTCATCCAGCAAAGCTTCATCTAGGATCCCACCAAGAGGGTCAGGCAGTATCTGGGGAGATGTGATATTAGTAGTACTGTTGAGATGTGAAGGAAAGAGGATGCCTGTCAAGTTGGTGAAACCAAATGTGGAGTTGAGGTCACTGGAGTTGTGGGAAGAAAACTGTGGCAATGGGGAGTCCGGGACTGTTAGGATATCCATGGTGGGAGCAAAAACTGCAGAGTGATCACGAGAACAGCTAGGAAGAGGCACCTGCCCCAAGTTACCATCCTGCTGTGTTGGTGGGTTCAAGCTCAAATACAAAGGATTTTCAGTTGAATTGTTCACATCCATAACCTTAAATAAATTGGAAAAAAAACAACACTATAACCACATATTTGGTTGGACACATACAAAGCTTATAAAAAGGGATAGCATGCACTCAAGCTAATTGGTCAGCAACAAAAAAGTGATTAAATGAGAGGTATGTGTATTCAGTTTAAAACATTGAATTGGTATAGGGAGCACTAAATATCCCTCTTTTGTAGAAATATATCTTCATGGCCCCTCTCACTCTGTAAAACTAGCATTTAATTATATTAGGTGAGCAGCTCCATGCATGTCTTCCTCAATTAAAAATATGTAGCTTGCAGCCAAAAATGTGCATTTGCAAGCAGCAATATAAACATTTCTATGAGAGTTTAAAGCAGAGTTTATGGAATAGTGACAGTTGGTCAGGGGACAAGACCTAACCATTTTATTTATCATTTGTTTTTGCACAATAGGGCAACTTTCAGCATACATATTAAGTATCAGAGGAAAGTTAACTTGACATTTAATATGTATGATTGTAGTCCTGGTGCCTCATATGAGAATTTCACACTTTACAGCATGTCTGCTGCACTGTAACAATAGCAGATACCTGCATATCCATGAGTGACATTAGATCTTGCCACTGCTCTTCAAGATCCAAGGGGCTCTCCATAGCTGGGAGGAAAGGGGATAAGAGCTCATCTGATTGAGTAGAAGCCACAGGGCCACTATCCGGGACCAAGAGGTCAGAAGGAGTCGGATCTGAAAACTGCACAGAAAAAAGGGTTAGACGACACATTGCAGGTGACGTTTCAGTAGGTACATTGCAAGGTGAAGGCAGACTGACTCACCTCAGGAGGGTCCCCAAATGGGAAATTGACATCCAAGAGACTTAGACATTCCTCCAATGACAAGGCAGTCTGATCCTGTGAGAAGAAGGACACTTAGCTCTGCACTCGGCACAGCAAGGTCACTTCACAATTCTTAATTTTACCTACCTGGTGTCGTACATTTTCTCCAGTCTCTCCATCAACCTGTATAGTGGGGTCAAGGATGTCAACTTGAAGGTCATCTTGTGGAGACTCCCACATGTCATCATTTCTTTTATCATGTTGCAGGAAATCTTCACGCCCAACACCCAGATCAATATCTTGCCTCCACAGAATATCAATTAAATCAATATCCTGAAAACAAATGAGTTTGTTGATAAAAAAAATAAAATAAAAAAAAATGAAGGTAGAAAATATCCATCCCGAAAAAAAATAAAAAAATAAACACAACTGCTTTGTTCTAGACCTTTCTGCTTAGTTTCAATTTTAGAAAGGTTGTAATTTGATAACTATAAAATAAAACTACACATGAAGAATTACTTAATGCCACACATGATTTGTATTCACAGAGTCCAGCAAAGAAACTAGAAAATCACATACAACACAATGATCCAACCACACAGAACATGAAATCGTATTTATAATCTAGATATCAGAAATGTTAATTTGTTTTAACAGCATCACATTTCTATTTGATTAGCTTTTACTAAAGAGAAAATAAGGGATGTTACCTGACCCAAATAGAAGGTACCACCACCAGTTTTAATAAAATCCTAACTGCACACAGATTTGTTCATAATTTCCAGTTCTAAATTCAATCTCAATGTATTTTTCCATTATAACTCCAGTCCCATGCACACAGAAAGGAGACCACATTTGCCAAATTCACAAAGGGGTTTATTTACTAAACAAATGACCAAGCTCTGACCTATGTGTTCAGTGACTAAATTCCAATAATGTGAGCAGTGTAGATTTATCAAGGTTTATAGAATAAAAAAAAAAAAAAAATCTTATTATTGGAGAGGAAAGAAAAAACAAAAAACAAAAAGACAAAACTACGTATCTTGCATGACAAATTTGTAATAGTTTGTACATATTTGTTAAGGCAAAGTCATACACTAAACATAAGATTTAACTTGTTTTTAGTTTGTAAAAACAGACAAATGATTTCTGTAACTATTTACAAAAACAAATAAAAAAAAAAAAATTAAAAGTTTTTGGTCTGTGAAATCTACACAGTGACAAAAGAGAGAAATGTATTTACAGACTATTTTCTGGCAGGACAGATAAAGCACACGATGACATTACTGAGACAGAGCTCTGAATAACAGTCATATGACTGTTTCTTCTCACAACCCAGAGGGACTTTCTGTAAGTGACTGCATAGCCAGCAAACATAAACAGGTTATATGACTGTGCTCCTCAGACAGGCTCAACATTGTGCAAGCTGGGGCCAGATCCCCTATTACACACCTGTCACCTCTGGTCACACTGCCAGAACACAAACAACAGCTGCCTGTGCCTTCAAAGTCTCATTACCACAGGTTTGCAAATCAGTGATGGTCTCAGTGAATCCTTTCTTTTATGTTTTGCCAGTATTTATAGCATAGGTGCACTCAGGCAACTTCACAAAATACCAACTCTAATTTTGTGATATATGTGCGCGCGCGCACACACACACACTATGTGTCACCATAGCACTAACATTGACAATTTTTAGTACTCCAAACTCTATTCCAAAGGCAGTGAGTTACTTTTCACGTAATGAGCCAAAAAGCTAGCAGAGAATCATGACATATGGGTGTGACATCTGGATTTGCCTAGATTAGGTGTTTTTAGAAAATAATTAAAAAAAAAAAAAACTACAAAAAAAAAAAAACTAATAAAATCCGTCAACATTGAAGTTGCTGTTTATTGTATAAAATGGCCCCCAGCAGCACCCCATTTAAGCATGTTCAGGTGAATGCAACCACGTGTGTGTGTATATAATTATAATAATAATATATATATCCCCCCAACTCCTTGGTTTTGCACCCCTCCCTGTTACAGGTGCCTCATCTCAGGTCCCTATTTAGCATTGTACTGCAGAGAGCCTCAGGTGGAATTTTTTCCCAAAGTAAGTGGGTTAATCTCATAAGAGCAGACATTAGACTGTGAGAGTAGGACCTGCCAAAGATGGGGTACACTGACGTTGTGGCAGGCTTATGCAATGTATGATCATATAATGTAACTAAATCCCCATTATTTTTTGCCTAGATTACGTAAAAAAAAAAAAAAACTAATAAAAACTGTCAACATTAAAGTTGCTGTTTAGTAGATAGGAGAGTGCGCTGGATCGTGTGTGTGTATATATATATATATATATATATATATATATATATATATATATATATATATATATATATATATATATAAATTAAAAAAAGAGATAAACTTGGCACTCACCCTTTAATGCAAATAAATGTAGAAATATTGCCTGGGTGCAAACCTCAGCGTTAATGTAAATACAAAATATGCAAATAAGGTGCACTCTCAGGTCTTAAAAAGTGCTTAATTTATTTCAATTGCAAATTACATGTGCAAAAAAAAATCATCCAGTGATTGACGTTTCGACCCCTATAGGAGAGAGGGAGAGAGGGAGAGAGGGAGAGAGGGAGAGAGGGAGAGAGGGAGAGACACACACACACACACACACACACACACACACACACAGAGAGCTTGTGGTGAGACCTAACATGCTAGAACTCCCCACAATACAGAAGAATTACTATTATGCATCACCAGCATATCTCAAGTTGGACTTTGAAAAGTCCTCCTTGGGCACAGAAAATCTAGAAATCATGTACCCACAGAGTTCCCAGTTTGACATGTGGCATCACGTGTCAGTCTTCATACTATATTTCTGCAGATACCTTTAGCAATAGACAACACAAGCACACATACAGACAGGTATATTTACATTAACACGCGTATATAAATAATAACCTATACAAAAACACATGGTATTGTTGCTGGGGAAGAATGGAGGATTACATGAGTTAAATGCTTGTTTAGGGCAGTACTTAAATGCCAGCTAATGCCTAATAGTTGCAGGTATTTGATATAGATCATCAATGTGATTGTATAGCTTTCCTGGCCAATTAGAATACATACAAAATAAATAAATAAATGTGTCCAGTGTAAATTTGCAGTTTATTCCTGTCTGGACTTGTTCATTTGAACATAGAGCATAAAAAGGGTGAGGGGAAGGCATAACAGCTGAGCCAGATCTTCTCTCTATATACACTATGAGCAGAACAGACAGAGTATGTGATCCACTAAGCTATTTAGGGACCTGGAGGTTTTTCTTTGTATTTGTAATGAAATGTAGAAAGTATAAAAGTTGCGGTGTCTTTAAGACAAAAATGTATTTCACAGTGATAGCTCATAAAGTGTAAATGTGCTTTATGAGCCATAACTGAAATATTTTTGTCTTAAAGACACAGCGCACCTTTTACCATTATCGAGTTTGTATTATAGGTTTTGGCACTTTACAGGTGCAGCTCTATTGTTTGTAGTAATTTTGTTTTTGTAAATCTTAAGTGCCTCACTTATTATATTGATATTCTTGTGTAATCACATGGCCTTGAAGAATAAGAGTGTAAAAGTGCATTACACTTAAAGATCAATTAAAGAAATACTGTCACATGTTTACCGCAGTCAGCCTCTCCAGCAGGTTATCAGAAGTAATAAGTATAAAGTGTAATCTAAATACTGTTTACAATACATTAGGTATAGGAAGCCTGTGTCATTCCACCTGTTGATGTAAGGGGCAGTAAAGTTTTGTTTGCACCCTTGCTTTATTGTGAGGGTTAATGTTGTTAAGGAAAGGCAAAAAGGACTTTGCTACCAAGCCTTTGTGTCTATGAGCACTGTCCATGCAATACATTGCTCAATGTATCTTTTTATTTATTTATTTTGGAGGGAGGGGATTATGTCATTACAAACAAGGTTATATATTCAGAGAGTCCTTTTAGGGACAAACATTGTAAGGTTACTTTTTAAAGAATTAATCTGTATAATATTGTCTCAGGGTAATAATGTAAGATTTTGACAGGACTCTAGGATATTATAAGAAAGCTTGCATGCTCCAACACACAGGTCTGAAAAGATCATATAGCCTTTCCAAAGGGCAAATAATACATTCATGCAGTTTAATGCTGAGCCTCTCTTAAGCCTGTATAGAATGTCCGTGTGGTTAATGCATTATGTGAGCTATTCATGCTTTGTGTCCCTTGGTGGGGCGGGTTAATTCATCTCTTGCGATGCAGCACTTGTAACCTCTAATATGTCCCTGTTATATATTGGCTGTGCATGGTTTCTAAAAACCAGTGGAATTATTTTTTTTTTGATGGCAGGTAAAAGCTGTAGTGCTAGTGGAAAACTGTTAAATTATTCTGGTGCAAGGTCATAATAAGAACTTCAATCCAAAATAATGAAAGACAATGCACTGGCATGGATGGAGATTATATATTTGTGGTTGGGGACAAACGTCCAAATTATGGCAATAAATGAAGGTGGAGATCACGTGTGTGTGTGTATTTTGTTTAAGTAGAGATTGTAGCTGTATTAGTCCAGTGATGTAGATGTAAAAAAAAAAAAAAAAGTCTGTTTTTTAGATCTGCATCACTGGTCTAATACAGCTACAATCTCTACTTGAACAAAATACACACACACACACACCAGGTGTTGTTAGAGGACTGCTGATCCCTCCATCTCTGTAATAATTTATGCACCAACTCCCTTTTCTTTAGGGGAGTCCTCTACCACAAGCACACAAGTGATCTCCTCCAAAATCTATACATACACACATACATACACACATACATACACACATACATACATACATACAAAGCTGAACAATTCAGAGACACTTATCTTCTAAAAAAGGTGAAAACAAGGTCAGCATCAGAGGTTTTAAAAGAGAATCTACAGACTGCAATAGCATGAGTGATACTATGTTATATTTTGTGTGACACTTTAACCATGGAGAATTAGCAGAAAACAAGGCAAAATAAATCATCTTACCTCCTTGCTTAGATCTGAACTGCCAGGCTGTGCAGTTGCACCCAGCTCCTCCACTTCTTCAGTGCTGCGGCCTTGTTCAGTCACCAGAGTGTCACGGATGCTGCTATCTGAGCCAGGACGTTCTTGTGGGGTGTCAGTGGGACGACTGGAGCCAGTCTGAGCACTGGGCACAGATCCTTCTGCTTCTCTGTGCACCAGCCAAGCATCCAACTCAGTAGTGGGCACCTGCAACCGGTCTAGGGCTCGCACCCTGTTCAGGAGTCGTCGGGAAGTAAAAAATTGATCTAGGTCAACACTCTTTGGATGCACACCATACCCATCAGCTGTACCACGCAGACTGTGGAACTGGGTCTGGGTGTAGGCCGAAGTAGGTCCAAGGATAATTTCGTGCAGTGGGGGAAGGTGAGAGGGCAGATAAGAGTCCAGGTCCACACGCACACCCATGAGGCTAAGCAGAATTGTGAACTGGATCAGACCCTCCGTCAGATATTTCTTCAGAGACAGCATGTCTGGGAGCCCCAAGGAAGAAGGGACCCCCAATACTCGCAACCCAGAGTTGAGAGACACTCAGCAGCCTTTCCTGAAAGAGTAAATCATATAAAATACAGTAGGTCTTCGATTGGATCTGTTACTACATTACCTCTGCATGTTAAACAGCAAAACCCAATATAAACAGGATTCTATGACTAACCAATAACATTCACTCAGGGCCAACCTGCAGTTTCCTAACCATATAGGTATAGAAACATGAAGTTAGCATCTACATGTATATCGGGCATTTACATAATTCAATTATATTTTGCTTCCTACATAGAAGTCTCCAAATATTTTTCCAGTTACAAAGAAAGGTAATTTAAAAAGAGTATAAAAGTCAAACTCTCTGTATGTAACATGTAAGTCAATCTATAAATGTATTCCTTGATCTACCCAGCTTAAAAAAAAAAATAAAAAAAAAAAAAAATAAAAAATTACAAAAAGAAGACTTTGAAAAGGTAACTGATGATTTTACATCATCATGCGCACACACACACACATATATATATATCTACTTCCTGCAGGCATATAACTGAATCTTACACAAACCTAGAAAATTATGTTGAAGCCAATATCATGGAACAAAGAGGTAATCTAGCACCTAGCAAAGATTACAGATAAAGCAGCAAGTAAGACGTTTACCTGAGGTAGAAAAGCATGCATAAAAATCCAAATAAAAAACACAAAGGAAGACAACAGCCTTACATATGTAACTCTATTGCTATGGGCCAATAAGTTTCAACTGGCCCCTTGCCTGAGCATCATGTCAAAAGCAGACCAAAACAAACACTAATACCGTGCGATAGTGGTAGAGTGGCAACCCACAGGTGGTGGGTGAAAGGGGCAGGGTGGCAAAGGGGGAAACTCGAGGACAGTACTCAACGTGCCACGGTGGCAACACACAGCCAGTGTGAAATGAGTTAATAAGTCAATGTGCCCACTACATGACACTTTATACATATTATTATTATTATTATTATTATTTACAGATTGCCCTGCCCTGGTTCTAGCTGTCCTCCCTGGTGGATATAAAGACACTCCAGCTCTGGTACAATCAGTCCCCTGTGTGACATGGACTGAGCTCAGCCAATCCTGGTACATCTCTCGCCTGCTGTAATATATACTCTGAGCTCCCCAGACACAACACGATGGATTCCAGGAAATAAATCTGCGCAGCCCAACATATTCCCACACACAGGGACTGCGGACCCGGCTGGAAGCTGGACACACCCGGACCCCCTGCCATGGCACACAGTGCCGGTATACTGGCCGCTCCCTCACCCCCGGTCCTACCTCACTCTCAGCTGGATAAAGCGCCCGGTTCCGCTTCCCCCCCTGACACGCGCACACGCAGCGCTGCTTCTTCTTCTTCTCCTCCTCGTGACTCCACCGTCCGCGTCTTCCACAACTCCCGAGTTTCACTTCCGCATCACCCGGCAACATAGAAACCCAACACAGCCAGCCAATCAGAGAGGAGCGTCCGGCGAGACGAACCAGCCCAGCCGTGACGAGCAGCAATTCTGACCAATCAACAAAGAGCACAGATGTCCCCGGCCTATCAGGTGTAGAAAAGCAAAACATACCACTCAACTGTCAACGGAACATCTGCAGCCAATCGGAAGTCTGGCTGTCAAACTGCCAGTAATGACGTCACGAGTAAACGCCTCCGCCGCCCTTTAAAGGGCAATCCGTTATTTACTTCCAGGGGTATTGTTGTGTAAATCACGGTTTCACGGTGGCCATGCAGCCAGTGCCCGGAAAGAGACGTATGGAAGTGAGATGCTTTTGAATTCGGAAAGATGTAAAGAGTAAGCTCTGGGCCTTACCGTGACTTGCAAAAAATACAGCGTCATTGCGTCACGCGTTCTGGAAAGTTCCTTGCGTCTTACGTCACTGTTTTTTACAGTGTAAGATGCAACACGCTGTAATCGTGTTGTGGAGACGGTTGCACACCTCCCTGCTGTTACGCAACTGTGTACTATACACAAGGCTGTTACTGGACTACAACTCCCATCATGCAAAGGCATTCCATGTAGGAGTTCAGACTCATGGGAAATGTAGTCCTGTTACATATAGGAGGGTATATCATATATCGAAGAATTGGTAAAAGGAATTGCAAATTACAAGCCAAGAACAGCATGAAGGGAATAATAAGTTGTTTTTGTTTGTTTGTTTTTTTTAATCTAAAATTTGAATTCCTGAGCGTTCACACTTTAAAGGGACACTATAGTCACGCAGACCACTTCAGCTCAATGAAGTGGTCTGGGTGCCAGGTCCCCAAGTTTTAACCCTTCAGATGTAAACATAGCCGTTTCAGAGAAACGGCTATGTTTACATTGCAGGGTTAATCCAGCCTCCAGTGGCTGTCTTCCTGACAGCTGCTAGAGGGGCATTTGCGACGCTGGATGCGAAATTCGTATCCAGCGTGCAGAACATCCATAGGAAAGCATTGAGAAATGCTTTTCTATGGACTGTTTGAATGCGCACGCGGCACTTGCAACACATGCGCATTCTGCTCCACTCGGAAGCTGACGTTGGCAAGGCAGGAGAGGTCACCAGCGCCAAGGGAGTCCGGGGCTGGATTAAGGTAAGCTGCTGAAAGGAGTTTTAACCCCTTCAGCGCCAAGGGTGGGGGCACCCTTAGGGCACTATAGTGTCAGGAAAACGGGTTTGTTTTCCTGACACTATAGTGATCCTTTAAAGATTAATTCACAAAACCTTGATATGTAGCTAAATAAAAATTAGAAACTGGGAAAATCAAGAATTAAAGTAATTGTCCAAACACCACTACAGTTTATACAGGAGTGTCGTGGTGCCTTACTACAGTAAGTAATCAAACCATTTGCCAATTTACCTGGGGTCTGCCTGGTATGCGCTGCTGCCTCCCCTGATGCTGTAAATCCTTGCACTGAGCTATGCCCAACCATGCAGAAATCATGGATGAGAGTGCTCAGGTGATGGTGTCAACCAATGAACTGCACTACGCAACAGGACTTCAATGGAGCTAATACATGTTTGTTGCTGTGAGCTGTAGTGGTTATGGTGCTTGGATTGTTCTTTTAGCTGATTTAGAAAAATTCTAAACTGACAGGCAATAGACAATAGCCAAGCTGTGATTAAAGCTGAAGTGGGAGAATGGATGTGGTCTGGGTGCACTGTTCCCTTAACCTTATCCATCAGACAGCTACTAGAGGTTCTTCTTGCTGTTTCACGGAGTTTAACTCTGTGATATGACGCTTGACATCCTCACGCTTTGCTTGAGGATATCCAGCGTCTTATAAGTTCCCATAGGAAAGCATGCTCGTTTTATTCCTACCTCACTCTCCAGACAGCAAAACAACATAGGTGGATAAAGCTTTCTCTGTGAGACGCGCGCACACACAGCGTTTCTCCTGTTTGTGACTCCACCATCCGCGTCTTCCACAACTCTCGAGTTTCACTTCATTAAATTGTTGTTCATTAAATAAACCCAAATTCAGTCTTGCATTATCCAGCAGTTATTTGAATTTAATTACCAGGTGCTAGTGTACATAGTTACCTAGTTACACATGCTGAAAAGAGACGTTTCCATCAAGTTCAGACTTTCTCACATCTGTTTTTGATGTTGATCCCCCCCAAAAAAACCAGTTTGAAGCACTTATGCTTTTGCAACAAACTAGGAAAAAATTCCTTTTTGACCTGAGAATGGACGTCAGATTTATCATTGAATCAAGAATCTATTACCCCACAAATTGAAAATTATATCCTTGAACATGATATTTTTGCAAGTATGCATTTAGTTTCTGTTTAAACAGCGTTCTCTTTTTTTCCCCTGCATATAACTACTTAGCATATAAGTTATACATTATAATAAATTATACTAGGGTGGACAGATTGGCAGATTTCTTTTTTAACATCAGATAGGTAATAAGCCGTAATGTATATGGAATCTGTGTCGATTCTCAAAGACCTTTTTGTTTCATACCTTAAGTATAATTTAAGCTCTCCTTTGTTGTTCCATATCACTGTTTTATTTGCATTATTAAAAATCCTATCTTTATTATAACTTTTTATCGATAATTTTCCCTGATGTACAACATACTAAACAGACTGACTAAATGGTGCGACAAGATTCAAATACAAGTATACAGGAACTGGATTCAGCTGCTAAGTTATTATTCAGAGTTGTTACATACTTACATAGCTAAAAGGGACTTGCGTCCATCAAGTTCAGCCTTCCTCACATATGTTTTTGCTATTGATCCAAAAGAAGGCAAAAAAACCAGTCTGAAACGCTTCCAATTTTGCAACAAACTAGGAAAAAAATTCCATCTTGTACCCAAAATGGCAGTCAGATATCTCCTTGGATCAAGTAGCTATTACCCCACTATTAGAAATTATATCCCTGTATGTTATGTTTTTGCAAATATTTATCCAATTGCAGTTTAAACATCTGTATGGACTCTGATAAAACCACCTCTTCAGGCAGAGAATTCCATATCCTTATTGCTCTTACTGTAAAAAAACATTTTCTTTGCCTTAGATGAAATCTCCTTTCTTCCAGCCTAAATGTGTGACCTTGTGTCCTATGTATAGCCCGGTTTATGAATAGATTTCCAGATAATGGTTTGTACTGGCCCCGAATATATTTGGATAATGTTATCATATCCACTCTGAGGTGCCGTTTTTTCCAAACTAAAGAGATTTAACTTTTTTAACCTTTCTTCGTAACTAAAATGCTCCATTCCTTTTATCAATTTTGTAGCACATCTCTGCACTTTTTCTAGTGCCATGATATCCTTCCTTAGAACAGGTGCCCAAAACTGCACAGCATATTCAAGGTATGGTTTTACCAGCGATTTATAAAGAGGCAAAATTATATTTTCATCACGAGAATTTATGCCCCTGTTTATACATGACAAAACCTTACAGGCCTTAGCAACTGCAGATTGACATTGCACATTGCTGCCTAATTTGTTGTCTATAACAATTCCCAAATACCTTTCGTGTGTGGTTATCCCAAATTCACTACCATCTAGGGCAGGGGTAGGCAACCTTTTAGCAGCACTGTGCCGATATAGGATTGTGATGTCCCGTAGCGTGCGGGTCCTATTTTTTTAAAATTGAAGTGTGTTTGCTGCCGTATTCTGCTTGTGTTATTTTTACTGTAATTGCTTTGTGTCGTTGTATTTGTGCGTATTTGAGCTATTATATTGTATATGTTCATGAGTAGTTTATAGTATTGTGTATGATACATATGAATGTGGGCTGTGTATTGGGGCTGCTTGTGGAATTGTGTGTGTGGATGGATATGTCACATTGTGTGTTTGGTAGTGTGTGGGGGCTGTTTGGGGTATTGCGTGTGAGAGGCTGCATGTGGGGTTGTGTGCATGTATGTGGATTGTTAGTGGTGTTGCGTTTGAGTGGATTGTGTGTATGTTTTTTGTGGGCCGTCCGTATTATTTGTATGAGGGGAGGGTTATTCTGCATTTCTGTGTATATCTAGCAGTGCGGGTGGCTTCCCTGGGTTCAAGTGGGGACCAGGCCGGCCAGATACAGGTCAAGGACAGGAGCTGCAACAGCAACTGCGAGCTGCTCTACTACTGTGTGGATTCCCATCCACAAGTGCTGGAATGAAGTTCTCTGAGATCACTTCCTCTACGTGCTGCAATGCATAAATTTAGGATTGGCCTTCACCACCTCTTCGTATTAGCAGATATCTGAAGTTTTACTGGGACTCCTGATAGGCCAGAGCCTGTTTGGCTCTAGCAGCCTTGAGTGCTGTGCAAAGGCACCTCGAGTGCCGTGCATGGCACTAGTGCCGTAGGTTGCCTACCCCTGACCTAGGGTGTACGTTGCTTGTGCATTCTTGACCCTGAAGTGCATAACTTTGCATTTCTCTACGTTAAATTTCATCTGCCATTTTAGTGCCCAGTCCCCCAATCTATCTAAATCCATCTGCAGCAAAGCAATATCCTGCTCACATTTTATTACTTTACGAAGTTTTGTGTCATCTGGAAACACTGAAACATGGCTTTCAATGCCTATTTCAAGACCATTTATAAATGTGTTAAATAGAAGCGGTCCCAAAACAGAACCCTGAGGGACACCACTTGTCCAGCCTGAAAATTTACCATTAATGACAACTCGTTGTACTCTATCCTTAAGCCAATGTTCTACCCAAGAACAAGAATATTCATCTAGACCAATTTCTTTAAAGACTAACCTATTGTGAGGAACCGTATGAAATGCCTTGGCAAAATTCAAGTAGATCACATCCACTGCAACACCCTGATCTATACTTCTACTTACTTATTTGTAGAATGAAATTAGGTTAGTTTGACATGACCTATGTTTCATAAAACCATGCTAAATATTGGTAATAACAAAGTTTTTCCCAATGAATTCCTGAATATTATCCCTTAATAGCCCTTCAAATATTTTTCCAGTCACAGAAGTTAAGCTCACAGGTCTATAATTTCCATGCAAGGATTTTGAACCATTTTTAAATATAGGAATGACATCTGCGTTTCTCCAATCCTCCAGGACAGTACCTGAAACAAAAGAATCTTGAAAGATTAAATACAGAGGTTCACTTATTTCCACACTTAGCTCCTTAAGTACTCGTGGGTGAATTTATTTACATCAATTTTCTTTAACTGCTGTAGCAACTTGTCTCAATCATCCAATCACAAGTTATCTGCAAGGTTTTTTTGCAGCAATCATATGCATATCTCATTAATCCTGAAGAAAAATAGTTATTTCAAAATTTCTGCCTTTTCCTGGTCTTCATTAAGTAACAGCCCCATCTCTGTTTCCAGTGTACCTACACTTTCATTTTTTTGTTTTTTTTTTAGAATTGAGGTACATGAAATTTTATGGGGTTGGTTTTGCATTCTTTGGCTATAAATTTTTCATTTTCTAGTTTAGCCACTTTGCCTTTTTGCAAGCATTTTTATGGCTTCCTTATATCTTATATAGAATGCCTCTGATTTGTATGATGTAAATGCTTTAAATACCCTTTTCTTATTTTTATTCTCTTGTTTTACTTCTCTACTAAACCACATGATAACTTTATAATTCCAGTTTCTTGACAATCATTCATCACATTCAAAATTAACTGACAAATAGAATTACTTAATACCTATTCACATAGAGTCAATGATCGTAATTATTTTTACGAGATGGCGAACGGAAGAGGTCCTTTCGAGGGGAGAGAGGAGACAGCATACTAAGCTCAGGGAGGTTGTTTGTTAAAGGACCACTATAGTGCCAGGAAAACATACTTGTTTTCCTGGCACTATAGGGCCCTGAGGGTGCCTCCACCCTCAGGGACCCCCTCCCGCCGGGCTCTGGGGAGAGGAAGGGGTTAAAATCTTACCTTTCTCCAGCGCCGGGCGGGGAGCACTCCTCCTCCTCTCCGCCTCTTCTCCTCCTCTTTGGCCGAATGCTTTCCTATGGATGCTGGCGTCTTCTCACTGTGGTTTTCACAGTGAGAAGCATGCAAACGCCTCGAGCGGCTGTCAATGAGACAGCCACTAGAGGCTTTAGAGGCTGGATTAACCTATTTATAAACATAGCAGTTTTTCCCTGAAACTATGTTTATAAAAAAATGGGTTAACCCTAGCTGGACCAGGCACCCAGGCCACTTCATTAAGCTGAAGTGGTCTGAGTACCTAAAGTGGTCCTTTAATTTTATTTTTTTCTCTTTTTCCCTTTCCTTTCTCACTTTTTTTATTTCCCTTTGTTCTCCCTTTCCCTTCCCCCTTTCTCTTTTCCTTTTTTTCTTCTTTCCTTTCTTTCTATCCCCTATTTTTGTGGGGGCTTTTAAACATGTCTCCCTTTAAATATCTCTGATTGATTTCTATATGTATTCAATATTTTTTTTAGAGAATAAGAGTAATATTAGCTGAAGAGAGTTTATTCGTAGAGATTTTATTCCAGTTGGACCATATAGTTTTATGCACATAGGTCTTATCTGCATTTCTGTAAAACCCTTTTTCCATTCTGCCCTGGTATTCAATCTGACCAGCTACATCTGACCATTTAGGTGTTAAAGGCAACTTACAATTTCTAGCTATTGTGAGCTTTATGGCTATAAATATATGTATTAAGAATGCTTTTTGTTCAAAACTACATATGGAAAAATGCAGGTGGAATAGGAATGTTTGAGAGGATAGATCTTCTTGTATGTGCAAGTCTTTGTAGATTTACATAATATTTTCTTTAATCTCTATTAAACCTTTATACTCCCACCACATGTGGTATAATGTTCCTATAGCACTAGTACATCTCCAACAGGTGTCCGAATAATTATGTTTGAATTTCTTGGTTCTATAGGGGGTACAGTGCCATCTATGAGTAATTTTGAAAAAAGTTTCATGCAAACTAAGACTATGTGTTATTTTCTTAACTTGTGTAAAAGCCTTCCCCCATTCCTCTATTGGAAAAAAAAAAAATGCTTTCCCATTTATTTAATGATAAAGGTTTCTGTGTATCCGTCAAACTGTTTAGTAATTGTGTAGTTCTAGAAATAAGTTTAGTTTTTAAATGTTTTATAAAGTTTTCAAACTGTGGGTGTTCCTTAATCCCTAGGGCAGTTATCAAATGCTTAATTCTAATATAATAAAAAAAAACATATCCAGGTAATTGGAATTAAATTTTCAAGTTATCAAATGATTCAAGTTTTCCTAATGGGGAAGATAAGTTGTGAATATTACAGTTTACCCACTTCGTTAAGTGTAAATCCTGTATATAAAATCGTATGACTTCAATGGGAGTTGATTGAAGGAGTTTATTAGAAATTCCCAAATTGTTCTTAAATATTTTTA